CCCCAAAACCCCAAAACCCCAAAACCCCAAAACCCCAAATGAATAAGCCTCTGTAGATTTTGGTAATAATTTAAACTAATATAAAGAAAATGCGCGCAAACTCAAGCACGAGGAACAACCACTTTAGGCTAAACAGACATTTCTCTGCTACTCATGAGGATCTGAAATCTACAATTTCCTCGAACGCTAGTAGAAGATACCGGATGAGGAGCAAGGAGAACCAGAGTTTTGACAATGGGTATCTTATATAACTCATAATTAGGTGACAGATCTCAGGTCTTAGATCTCAGAGGGACATGACATCCCCCGTTCCTGTCCAATCAGAGCCAGAGAAGGATGTTAAAGAGGTTCCGAAGAAGAAGGAAATGAACATCGAAGATATTTCCTCAAAGGAGGTAACTCTTCAACCTCTAATTTTCCAGAATCTCGATAAAAGTGTAGAGGTCCTAAACGGCTTGCTTGGTAATGGTCCTGAAGAATCAGAGATCTCTCTTGGAGGTAATCCTGAAAAGATTTATATGTATAGAGAAAGATCCAGATAACATGATGAATGACTCAGCACCACAGGTTGAGGAGCTACAGAAAATATTGAGCAAGTATAAAGATGATAGCGGGATTGGTAATTTAGAAGGATCATGCTGTTAGATGACTCTGATATGATGGAAGAGAGTGTAAAAGAGAGCATTAAGAGGACCCAAGAAGCCTATGAGAATATCATGAAACTTAAGTACGGGTAAGGGCAACATCCCTTGTTTTTGTAGATGTTGATTTTGAGGAGTTTAAGTTGAATTTGAGTATAGAAAGAAAGATGAAATTGAACCAAAAGAAGTTAGTAAGGAGAGTACAGTCAATATGGAAACAACATTGGAGAAGGAGCTAGGGTTCTGATTTGAATCTGATGTTAGCCAGGAAGAGAATAAGAAAGGTAAATTCAGCACAAAATTTTAGATAATGAAGAAGGATCAGAGAATTCAGATGATTTTCCTCCGGATAGAGAAATAAAGCGTATCAATGCAGAGAGTAGTGAAGTCCCGGTACAAAAAGACATCTCTGAAGACAGAAAAGAAATTGATAAATTCTTAGAAAGCAGCCTGTCATCTCATAGTAAAGAAGCTTCTTCAAATAATGAAGCCCCAGACTTTTCAGACCCACAAATTTTACATAAGAAGTCAGTATCAGAACAAATTCCTGACATTGTTGAAGCTCAGATGATAAAATCTCCAAAGTCATCAATGGAAGACACTATGTGAAAATTAGTTGAATATCTAGATGCTGAAGAATCACCTTCCAAAGCTTCTAAAATATCTCAATCTCCTGCTCCTATCAATGAAGGTATTATTCTTAATCATATTTTTAGAGCCTGTGAGAGAAATCTCATTAGATACAGCACCTAAACTCTCTGAGGCAAACCTTGAGGTTATTGCAAACCTAAAATCAAGCCCAATAGTTGAGAAGCTAGAAAAGGCTTCTAAGGAACAAACTTTTGGGAACACAACTCAAGAAGAGAACCTTGAAACTATCCAAGTTCATAATCTCGAGCATCTAAAGAAAGAAGAGCTTAGGACTGAGCGCAAGGTCAACGATGGACAGTTGATGAAAGCTGAAGTTGTACATGATACACATACAACTTCTCAGATCATGACTAACACTACTCCCAAGGATTCTTGTGATTTGAATATGTATTCAAACTTTGACATGACTCTTCGTAAGAACCCTGATGACAGGAAATCTGAACTTGACGCACTGATGAAAGGATCTGAGGATTACTTCAATTCAGTCCTAAACCAGATGCACCAGGACCTGAACCCAATTCCCAACAGAAAGCATATGTCTAGTGAGATCCCAAAACCAATGAGGAAGACAGGGAAAATTTCAAAGAACAAATCTAAGAGAGTCAAAAGGAATCTACCGAATACTTCAGGTATTTTACCTTATAACTCTTCTGTAGCTCAACTAGGAGATCCCAAATTTAGCAGCTTCTCTATTGAGCATAAAGAAAATATCAGCACAAATATGGGAGCCAAGGATGTGTGGTACAATGTGAATAGGATCCTTGAAAAGAATGGTTATGCCAAAATCTCCATCTCTTCTAAAACTGACCCTGCCCTAGTCTGTAATACTGTACTTGAAATCCTTCATGATTATGAAAAGAGAGGGGAAACCATCCAAAATCTTCTTACTTCTAAAAGAGAGTTTGGATACCAGAATGCATCCCAGAGAGCTACTGATATAGAAAGCAAGAATAAAATTGCCAGTTTACAAGAGGCTAATTCTAAACTCAAGGCAAAGATAAAGGCTTTAGAATATTCTCTACAACAGAATAGCCAAAAATCTAAGAGGAAAGAGTGGTCTTCCAAGGAAGACTCTGTCAACTCTAAAGGCTTGATACTAAAACTAGCAATGGCTCAAAACCAGATCAAAGCATCAGAAAAAGAGAAGCTTAAGCTTAAAGAGAAACTTGACAAAGTCACAGAAAGGATTGAAAAATCTGAGAGAAGAGATCTTGACCTGCCTAAAAATCTTCCTTCCAGAATTAAAGACATGATCTCTGGATATGAAAACCAGAAGGAAAGACTTGATGGGAGGATAAGCTCATTAGAAGTTCAGATCCAGAAGGTTAACAATATCAATGCGAAGCTCATTAACGAGAACAAATGCCTTGCGAAAGGAAGCACCCAGGCTAACTCCAAGTACTTCTACATGAAAGATGAAGGAAAATTACTCCAAAAATTAGAAGAACTTGAGAAAGTAAAGGATAATCTCATGAAAGCTCTGACAAGGAAGGAAGAGACTATTGAGACAAATCTGCAAGAGCTAGAGAATATTAAGGAGGTGAAGTCTGCAATGACGGCCAAGATCCAAGCTCTTGAGCATGATCTTAAGCATGGGCCTTCTATTGCTGAGCTGCATTCATTACAGAACACTATTACGAAATTAGAAAGCGAATGTAAGAGATTGAGAAAGGAGAATGATACCTTAGAAAATGAGGTAATGATGTTAAAGAATAATAACAATTCTCACCTGAAACCCCAGGCAGAAAGTTTCAGCACAAAGAATAGCAGCAGGATTTCGTATGATGAAGAAAGTGCAACAAAGATTTTACTGAAAGTGCTTGAAATTTTGAATATACAAAATCCATTTGAAAAATTCTCTGATGAAGCTTCTTTCTCAATCCTTGAAACAGTCACTAAGATTCAAAGAGTTGTAATGGCTGTCCCGAGGATGGAAGCTTTTATAAAACAAGTGTGCAGCTCTGTGTTCCCTCATACTCCTAGTCCACAATTGGAGAACATAATTCCTGAGATACATAGACTCCATAGTCTGATTTACTCGTATCAGAATAAAGGGGCCTAATAGAAAATTTCAATATATTTTTCTTCATTAGGGGTTTTGGGGTTTTGGGGTTTTGGGGTTTTGGGG